CTTGTTATGCAGGCTACAGGAGTAAAAGAGATTGAGCGGATTTTGCTGGTATCCAAGAGAGCTAGAGATAGGATACTTGGCGGACGTTTGGGCGTGACATTGCTGCCAAGGGTTTGAAACCCTTGAAGGTTTGCCGAGGACGAAAACCTCCTACCATACTCCCCACCTACCCCTCCCCTAATCCGAAATTAACACTAACTTCTCACGTTGGGACAAAATGTTAGCTAAGGGGAGGGTCGGGTGGGTTGGCAGATAAGATGGAGTAAAGCTGACTATGGACCGAGAAATCGTCGCTCGAGATCTGAATCTTCCAATGTAATAATTTCTTTTTTTGATGATTTTTTCCAGAAAACTGGATCGATAAAAACTCAGTCACATTTAACCAAATTTAAAAATATTCATTATGTTTTAATTTTATATGTATTTCCTTTACCAATTACTTAAAAGTTTTCTTGGTTATGAGAGATCTACAGATTACTCCGATAGCCTGGGGCTAGTGGACTTTGCCTTCGCGCTAGTGAATTCTGAATCGATTATCCTAGACCACGCTTTTCGGACTCAGCTTTCAAACCAGCCGGTACTCGATGATTTGGCGCTTAAGAGCTTTAAATGATGAATGGTTACCGTATATGGGTATTCGAATTCGTTCTTTACCTCCAAGAAAACCCATGGACCCCACAGATTTGGAATCTACATAATATATTACTCCTTCCAATTTAAAAACTTGTCCCTCTAATTCAAAAATTGTCGGCCATTGCAACCGAGGTCCCCACGCAAACCCCACGTGTGTTAGCTCCACATCACAGGAAGCCCAAGCTCGAAATATGACCATCGGTATTGTTGCGTAACGTTCAAATTATAAGGATTTGTATGGGGGAAAAACATTTGTTTCTGTGGCCTACTAATTTAAAGGAATTTAAATAAAAATCGGCTAGCCTTGCTTACGTTGAGCGTTTCTTCTTTTCTGTATGGTTTCCGAGCCGATTTATGGCCATTTAATGGGTGTTATTGGAACCGGTTTGCTCTCCCACTATCTATTTTCACGATAAAAAAATTAGGTGAGAATCACGAATATCGTATAAAAGATTTTAATGTTCACGTATCACGACAAGCAGACCATTCACAGTTCACGGATTTTAATTTCGCATTTTCACCTTTCACGAAAATTAAAATCACTTAAATCCCGTATCAAGCAATAACCCCTTTCACCCCCTCATCAAATACACTGTTTTAAATATAGTTGCAAAACCGCCTGTAAACAGAAACCAAACTCAGTAGGAGACGTTCGAAACCATTGATTATATTCTTAGCAAGTTGTATTCAGAACTTATGAAGACAACGGGGCCGGTTTTTATAATGAAAATTATTTTCTTGGTTACGCATGGAGAATTTTGTTTTCGTTTATATAAACCAGGCTTATTGGCTGGGTTATTATAAAGTGAAATTATAGCGTAATTCTGATTGGATATTTCGAGAATTAGTCAGAAAATTCCCTATGTGACCAATACAAATCAAAACAAATTTGTACACGTATTCAATCGCATTAAAACCAAAGGTTGAGGTACAAGCAGTATTCGACGAAATGTTTAGAGCTTTTATGCCGTTGACCTGTATGCGAGGTGGTTGAAAATGGTGGCTTTATTGAAAAGAAACAGGTTCCTGTCGCATGCGGTCTGAAGCTGGCAACAGGTTTATTAGCACGTTTTTCCTGTCAAACTTGTTGTGTCCGATCTGACCGGCTGTCGGCGCTTGTACATCTGCGCTCGAGTGTTTCATATCGAAGGTTCGCTTGCGTTGTTTTCAGAAGCTACAACGATTCTTTAATTCTTTACCGGTCAGAACGGACGTATGCTTAACCCAACATGAATGATCGGAGCGTGACCCGGTCGCATTCATCGATGAATATCGAAAATTTGACGTCCATTCCTGTTGGAGGCAGTATAACGCTGATCAACTACGCTCACAGACAACTTCCAAATGTCCACAGCCCGTGTAAGGATCGTGGCTGGGCTTGGGTGGTTTGTGCCGGCTCATTTTTCGTCATGTTTATGGTTTATGGCATTCACACATCTTTTGGCGTTCTTCTTGTTGTATTGCTAGATCACTTCGAAGCGAGCAAAGCAAGCACAGGTAGGCGAAATTTCCTCTACCCTAGAATCATATCAAGAATGCGAAACTGTAAATCTTTGTGTGAGTTAAAATATACATATACCTTGGAATTGCTCCAAATTCATTGCAGGACATACATTTCTACCCTTCTTGCAGCAAATAAACGAAGAGCGACGAAAAATAATGCTAATTATTTAAATTTCGCTTTCCATTTCCTCTTTGTTTGATCGCTTAACGCAACAACAACCCAGTAAAGAAATTGCTGCGATCCATGTTTTTTTTTTTTTCACTGCAATAGCTAGTCTTATAACATAATTGTTCGTACAATATAAATGAAAGAAAGTGAAATAATCGTCGGTGATTTTTGGCAAGGTCCATAGCGCAATTTCTACAAACTGCTACAAGCCGATCGCAGCGGACCATCCTGGCGGCTAGTCGACCAAACAGATCAATTTGCATGTGATCTGTGTTTACTATAGAAAAAATACCGCAACAATATTGTTCGTTTTTACTTGTAATATGCAAAATAATAATTTTCTTGAAGGTTGATGAATGTTTTCCCGGCTATGAAATACTATTACGCAAACTTATTTCATAAATTTTGCATATTTTTCCAACATGTAATTGTAATAAAAAAGATATGTTATTTTTTTAATGAATGAACACTGTTTTTAATTCAACTGTGGAAAAAATATGGAGGACACCCAACACGCGAATTGTATGCAAATTTGCTTGAAAAGTTTGTTTTTATGCCAAAACTATTCGTGGTCAAGTCAACCATAAAATATTAAAGACGCAAAACTCCACCAAATTAGTTTAATTGTGATTGGAAACTTTCAGAGTTGAAAGTTCTATTTAAAGAAAAAATTGACAAATTTGACCGTGCTTAAAGATCACTTTTCATTTTTAGAACTGTAGAAAAGTTTTACTGTCAACGAATCGACTATTCCAACGATAGATGTGTCAATAATTGGCGCTTAGGTACAATTCCGATATTGTCTAACTTTCTCGGAGAATTCATTTGTTATTCCCACTGTCATAAATATAGCTACTCTGTAGTTGAGCAGGCTCATACAATACTCTCTGGTCAGTAAAGTTATGAAAAATCTATTAGATTCAAAAGTGAAATACAGAAAATGTGGATTAAATTTATTGATGCGCGTGTAGTCTTTTAATTGAGTGAAAGGTCCGTAATGGGATATTCTCTGGAGGGGCCGACACACCGTGCGGTGTGACCGGGTGCAGGTAGGGTTCTTCGTGTCAATGATTTTGGTTTTGTTTTGTTTTCTGCTTATCCTATTTTTTAAGGCCAAACAAAAACCAGCTTTTACTTAGAATTCAGGCAAGACTGGACAATCTCATCCCGTTAGTCTTCTTTATTCTAGTGGCGTAAGGACGGTCTCCACAACCCCTCACTCAAGCCACGACGTGACCTTATTACAAAATTTCAAAACATTGCCTTGAGAAACGTACCAAAATGATCGATGCTTTTACACAAACTCCACCAATATTCAATTTATTGTAAAATGTTCTAACGCTGTCATTTTTAACCATCCAATGAGCTTTATAATATCAACATCTTTATCTAAGTTCAACTTAGTGTAAGACCCCCGAGCTGTACTCCCCTCTGGTTCTGAATCTGAACCCATTTTTGTCTATAAGTTGATGATTGGATGTTCTTAAAAACAACAGAGAAAATTATCCAAGAAAATGCTTTTGAACAAAAGAAAAAGAAACCCGGGTTAAATTTAACCCTGGATTAAGCGCTAATCGGCCTTCGAACAACTGGGTTTTCAGGAGGTATGCCACACAATCCCGCCCGCTTTTTCCAGAAGTAGATGTTACTTGACAGTAGAAAAGAGGTGTTTTAAGAGGTAATGTTAAGCGTCAACTTTGGAGTCAAAGGCACAGACAAGAGTGTTATTCCTTGTAGGGAGATAGCTCGATAATTGCAATAGTTTGTCTACTTTGTCTTCTACAAGGTTATGATGGTGGAGCCGTCCCACCCATGTGTTGCACCATCTCACTGTCTCAATCCTGCACAAAGGGTTTCAGAAACGTGTCACAGCCCATCTGATGAAGCTGATGGCAAACTATGCAGATCCTGTTTGTTTGCACTACCCTCTAAACAGCAGGCCTGGCTCTTTTGAGTTCATTGAAACACGAAACGCTATGCAGTTCATACGGAAGCGAGTAAACTCAGTCGTTGCAAGTCATCTTGCTGTGGAAGGTTGAAGAAGACAGAACAAAATTCTTCTTCCTCTTGGCTATGACCAGGTATCCGGCTGTTAACACGGTAGTAAACTTTTTCTTTCGTAATTATAATGGCTCGGCACGCATGTTGAATATTGGTATGTACCACACAATAGATATGTTCCTAAGTGAGGCGGTCTAATTGGCTTATAATACTAGTGCTTGCGGGATAGCGTTAACCTCAGTTGTTAATTAACCTCTCTTTTTGGTCCCCTTTGTCTCAGTGATAGCTAAATACCTAACCTGAAGAGGGGGGCTGATTATTTCCATACGTTTAGATATTCGAGCCATTCGCTCTTTCAGTAACTAGCGTGGTACATACTAAAACAACTCCATATGGGTGAACGATGTGGTTGAAATTATCGAAAAACTGTTGATTATTTAAACATGAAGTGCAAAACCACAGACTCCTTTTCCTGACTAAAAAAACAACGCATTTAATTTTCCGACAAAAAATCAAAGCACTCTAACAGGAATTTTACCGCTATGAAATTTTATACAGTAATAGTCGCAGGTTTTAGCGAGACGAACGAGGAGGAGGAAGTTGACCTTTGCTGTAAATTGTATAATTAATGTTTACTTTGAAGCTTATGATTATTTATGATTATTTTTTGCCCTTATTTGAGCACTTTTCTAACAATACAGAAATCCAAGATGGCGGCCGGGATCCAAGATGGCGGCCATTTGGAAAAACTGCAGTATGTCTACGTCTTATGACGTCATCACGTCACGTAAACTATCTTAAGGCCCGGATGCACAGTGCAACATTGCGCACAATTAACGTAAACTGTTTTACTCGACATGGCTAATTATAGTCTAATAATTTGGGTAACTGTACACGTACCATTGGTGCCCCCGCTGCTCAAAGCAGACATGTCTGCATCAACCATTTCAAATTAGGGAAGTGCTAAGTTCTATTTGCCCAAATCGCGCGCGGGGAGTGAAATGAGATTGTTGTAATTTGACAAGGGCCCGCCTTTTGTCTTTTTCAACGATTAATCGACAAAATGACGTCTTCCAGAAGGAGTCAAAGTGCTCTATGAGCTAACTCGTAAATGGATCAGGAAAATCAAAAAATATTTGAAGCCGCGTCACGAGACTGCACGCAATACTGCAACTGGTAGATAGACGTTGAAATTTATGTACCGCAATGCTGCAGAGCCATGCGGAAGTAGATTTTTGTTGCTGAAGTATTGCAAGTGACAATTGCAGGAATGGACAGGCTATGTAATCAACAATTGTGCGCATTGTTGGACTGTGCTTCTTGGCCTTAAGTTTTTAAGTGCTGTAAACACTACAGGTGTAATTGACTCAGGCTCCATTTATTTGGAGAAAAGGATCACCCACCTACCAGAGCTACCCTGGGCGAGCCAACTTTTCATATAATAATTATATTATTTCCTTACAAAACGTAGCGTACTTTTCACATGAGAAACAAAAAGTTGACTCGGGTAGAAGGCTAACCTGCTTCTCAATGCCTAGCCAGGTCACCCTTTTTTGATGGTAGCCGACCACCATCCGAGCTAACCGGGCCAACTTTTTTCCATTCAAACATTTTGGCTCGCCCAGCCAGGTCAACTCGGTCAAAGAGAGACAATCAGAGCATGCGCAAGCGCTATTAACTCGACTGCAAAACTAATATTAGACTGTTTATCAAGAAGAAGAAATGCCAAAATCGAAACAGTGCGTTTTTGGTTACGTCGCATTTTGTTTGCCCGGCATTGTAAGTTCTTGAAGGCCGGAAAATCCACGTATAAAAATACAAAACAGTGGGGGTATGCCAAAGGATTAATTTATTTTTCGCCTTTCCTTTCTGATCCTTGGAACGGACCCCAAAGCTTTTGAAGCAGTTATTCAACTGTAACATATTGACTACATAAGGAGATGAAAGATGCATTCTCAATCAAATTTCTGGGCTCAATTTAATCCTGAATTTTAAGGTAGCAGCAATGAATATCTAACATGAATCATTCTCAGACAAGGTTCATTTTATCATTAATAATTTTTGATAATTTTATTTACCATCCTTTACCATCCTTTGAAAATTATTAGGACTGGACTTAACGATTCTTTTAAATTCCTCTTGTTTAGCTACATAGACGTTTTTGCCCAAACGTATCCGGAAAATATATTCTTCTTCTTGTTCTTCTTCTCTTTTTTCTTTTTTTCCTAATTCTCAGTTCTGTCTTATTCCCTCCCTCTTACTGCGAGGATCGAGTGTACCTTTTCTTCTACTTCATTTGATCCTCTCACAACCAGGGCCTTTAAGAATAGACCTTTGTCACGCGGTGGCCATTTTGTCCCAAGAGATTAAAAAAGCTTTGTATTTGCACTCCTAGCCTCGTTCTCACTGCAAGGCTAACCGTCGAAAAACAAAGCTTTTTAATCTCCGGGACAAAATGGCCCCCGCGTGAGAAAGGTCTTCCCATGACGTCAAATCCGCCATGATGGGGTTCGAAAACAATGCTCAAAATTGCGGCCATATTGGGGCGCCAAGACGATCCTGTGGAACTCGTTTCTTATGTAAACCCCTTCGTTTTTACCATTAATTAGCAGAGATGCTTGCCACAATGAGTAAAAAAGCTTTGTAACGTTTTCCTGATGACATGAAAAGAACTCAGCTCGACTACTAAGTTGTATTCCCCGACAGTACCGATTGGCAGATTGAAACAAATAGTAACGTCTTTTGCAGAGATTTGGGAAGCAACAATATACTTCAAGAAACTCATCTTAATTCTTTATTTTTTCTTTCCTTTTTCAGCCTGGATTGGCTCAATATCCGTCAATCTTCTATTCCTCTTCAGCCCTGTCACCAGCTCTCTCGCGGGACGTTATGGCGTGCGCGTCGTCACAATTGCTGGAGGCCTTATAATGAGTGTTGGACTATTTCTCAGTTCCTACGCCCCCAGCCTCGTCTTCTTATACATCAGCTACGGGGTTCTCTTAGGGATTGGCACTAGTTTGTGCGGGACAATGGCTTTAATAGTAACCGCGGACTACTTCGACAAGCACCTTTCTTTAGCCACTGGCATTGTGGCCTCGGGGAGTAGTTTTGGAACTCTAGCTTTTGCCCCAACGCTTCAAGTCTTAGTCGGGAAGTTTGGATGGCAGACTACCTTTCGCATAATGTGTTTAGGCGGCATAACCTTGGCTATTACAGGACTCGTTTACAAAAGAGTGAACAGAAAACTTGTTCATTTGCCTTCTGGGAAGAACCAATGCTTTGACCTGTCCGTTTTGAGGAATAAGTCCTTCGTCGTGTGGACCTTGGCAACTTCAGTGGCTGGCTTTGGTTACTTCATACCACACTTCTTCTTGGTACGTGCAACACCCAAACCACAATCAAACACTTTCTTGTCTTACACTGCACCATCTTCCAACACCTTGGCCCACAATGAGCCTTGTGATTTGCATTGCATTGCGATGTGAACCTAGGTGAAATGTTTCAGTAGTGTTTCATTCTGGTGGCATAACGGCAAGGTCTATTTCCCTTTCGTAGACGGTCGTTGCCATTTTAACAGTCGATACCACTCTTTAGTCTTGACAGATGAAATATATACCCTGGATTAAGTTACAGTAAGACAAAGTTTTTGAATAGTCTTAAAAAGATCGACGTTGAAGCCCAAGTTTCATTCGCGTTAAAATTTGTGAAAAGGGTTAAGGTCATTTGTTATTGATGTATCAGTAAAGAAAGACAGTTTGCTGGTTTATGTACTTAAATTTTCGGAATTTTGGTTGGTGGGTGTGAAAATTTAGTGGTAAGACGCGAGAAAGATTAGGATATGAAAGTTCCAGATTCGACCCTAGTTTCCGATCTTTTTTCTTTTTGTTAGAAACACATTCAATAACAGGCCAAAAATTTTCTAAGTGCCTTAAAAATGGCAGTGACCGTTAACGAAAGGGAAATTTGCAACGGCACTTGCTTAGTCCCTGTACGGCGTATTCCCAGTCCCTCTCGGTCAATTCGTTTCGGTGACGTATCCGAGGCGAATGGGCGGGAAACGCCCTCACATTTTCGCATGGACAACGTGACCCGAAACGCTTTGGCCGCGAGGAAAAATGAGGCCTAGGGACTAGGCAACAGCGGCACAACATGAACAAAGACGACCCATAAATAGAGTGTCCCTAATGAGTTTTTCGGGATCTGGGATCTGCCTTACTTGAAGGCCGGGTCGGGATTCGGGATTGATAGCAAAAGTGGAGCGAGATTCGGGATTGAAAATGTGTACGGTACTGAGGGATGCCGAAAATAACTATCGGGACTACGGGATTGAGGGAAAAAGCGGGTCGGGATAACGGGTTTGAAGAACCCTATCGGGGACCCTCTGACTAAACATAACGACTAAACAGCGAGCAAATCAGGAGCACGTTACTGGGGCGGGGGCGGGAGGGGTTGGGAGGCTGGGGACAAAAGGGTCTCAATGCGGTGGAACCTTTTACCGATTACTGTCAATATCGCGCCATTTATTCTCCTAAAGGTTCTAATTTCTTTTCCAAACGGCTGGATGATTTTTGAAAATGTGTTTCAGTGTTTTTTATACGCTAAAAATAAATTTTCATCGTTTTAAAACGCATTTTGTCTCAATTAGGTCTCTTTATGACATGTATAGCCAAGGCAAAACGTGTAATTGAGCGACTTTCATACGTATGAATGACTCGTATCTATAACAGTGGCTAGAAAAATGATTACACATGTTTTATGATTACAGATTTCTTTTTTTGTCTTATGTCAAAAGCTGTTTTCTGTTTAAATGATAAAGTTTAGTCCAAAGGCTGAAGTTAACCACATTGAGACCCTTGTACAACGGTGGACTAAGTCACGTTTAATAGTGATGGTCCAAAGAACGGTTGCATAGGAACTTCTAGTTGAAAGCACTTTTGTGAACCTCATTTACCATTTAGTGGAAACGTGGGCAATGCATGATGTATAAAATAATTAGTAAATGAAACTGTTTTTTCATGTTCTAGACAACAATAACAACCACCGAACAATTAAGGTACTCTGTCAAGTACTTTTTCCATTTCTACGGCAACCTGAGGGGGTGATTTACATGAGCTGGTCTGGCTGGATTTGCCGAGGTCACTTTTATCTCGATTTTAGATAAGGCGAGCCGAAACGGGGGCGTACATAGATTTCAGTGATACGAGCAGTATGTAAACTACTTTCCTCTCGCCAGCTTGGTTCGCCAGGCTGGCCCGGCGAGAGTAATTACATAGAAAAAATCCAGCACAGCTAACCTGGCTAGCTAGGTCGTCACATAATCGAGAAGATAATCTTTAGCCTGTACACATACGTCGTTCTCTTTTTCTTTTCGACAATCGGTAAGCGCTCGCGAGAAAAAAAAAAATTTCTTATGTTACTTCTATTTTCTTTTCCCCCACCCCATACGCTAGCGGTCAGTGTATCCTCAGAAGATTAATATTCATTCGTGTGCTCGAGGGTCTCTAAAGAAAAACAAATAGAGTGTCTTTTAATCTTTATTGTGTTTAGTCTATGTCCCGAGATCTCGACAAATCGAGCCAGCCCAGCCCATATGTAACCGGCTTTTTAGACGAAAGAAAGGGAAAGAGTGATGGGGCGTCCATTCACGTGGTCCGTGCTTCATGGTTACTCCCAGCTCGCCACTTTTTTTATTGCTCCACCCTTTCTCGTGCCCCTTGCGTTTCGGAAAACGTGGTAAAGAAACCGCTTAGCAGGCATTTGCTTTTTTCACTTGTGGGTGGTATACCATGAGTGTGTTATGAAAGCAAGCGCAAGCTTTTGTCCACTAAGAAGTTTACCCTTGCCCTGTAAGCGTCAAAGTTGACGAAACGTTAGTCTTTTCTTTAGTCGTTATGTTTAAGTCCACTGTTCCCTCTGGGTCGTTTGTTAAATTGACAGTTAGCTGTCTAAATTACGTCAAACAGCACCAAAAACCTTCTCATGATATCCGGCTGCGCTGTCTTTTTCATGTTAAACGTCAATTAGTCTGAGCAAACAGCCTACGTTTCGCGATGCAACAATTGGTTTCCCCGCGAAATGACGTCTGGTGAATCAGCGCAGAAATTCTATACTCTGCAGATGCCTTGTTAGTACCCAGATCTGGGTAGTACTTCTGATTGGTCATGCACGAGGGAAATCTGCTTTTACCAATCAGAAGAACTACCCAGATTTATGTGGTGACACATCATCAGTATTGAATCTCTGCGCAAGATCCTTTGACGTCATTTGGCCGGGAAACCAGTAATGGCGTTGCGAAATCTCGGCTGTTTTCTCAGGTTAAACGTCAATATGCATGAAGGCTTTCATTTTTATAACCTTGCCGTTATGACGCTAGTGAGAAACAAGCTAACCTGGGAATACAGTCGCCTCTCATCGCTCCCACCACTAGGAACGTTTTGCGAAAGAAGCTCTCTCTCGAAAAACGTTTCCAGTGGAGTCGATTGGAGACTGAGAGATCGGAGGCTGTATTCGCAGGTTGGAATAGGCTTAATCCTATTTACACTCGTAATTTTTTGGCGCCGCTCGCGTTATTTCAAGAATATTGAAGCATGACTTACCGCAAAATATATATGGCTTTCGAGGGGCGTGACGTCATAACGCCTAAATGGCCGCCATCTTGAATTTTTAATTATATATATCATAGCAATGCCAAATTAATACCGTACTCTAACATGATCTAAACTCTATAAAATTTTCCATCAATAAGAAATTTTTTTTTCCGGTTTGGGTAAACTTGCCTTCTAAACAGCTAACTTTACATATCCTGATAAACATATATCACACAACCGCACAGCGAGATTTGAAGTATTTAGCCTGCGAACGAAGGCGTATATTTCCGGTAGTCGCTTCCGTTCAAACGAGAAAGCTATTCTGTGGGATGGAGAGAAGCGACAACTGAAACAACATCTAGGTTCGCAGGCTAGATTCTATTGCTCAGAGTGTTTTTATAGCAGATTGGTCACTCACTCATAGTCACAGCGAATTTGTTGTCCTTAAGGACTCCATAAACCCAAAAAATATTTTCAATTCTGAACGGGTATACCAAATTTCACCGAGCCAAGAGCCTGATTGGTCTCCTTCAGGAGTTCAATTTGAACATCCCGTTCCTTTCTAAAGGCCCCCAAGGGCTTTTCTTATTCTAATTCTTCGAGAATGGGAGGAGGCGTGCTTATCTGTTTTTATTTTTTGGCCGCGAGGGTGGGCGTTTGATTGGGGAAAGCACTTATATGAGGAACTACGGCATCAATTAATGAAGTAGTGTGGACATAAACGATAATGCACATATCTGACCTATTTTGGCCAATTTGTTTAGGCTTCAATCTACATTAAATTTTACCATCCTTAAACTTATAGGCGCACTACGGAGAAAGGACCGCATTTCTTCTAGGGACCGAACTTGTAAGACGTCTGGTCCAATCTATTCTAATGTTGGATAGCGCTATCCACTTGATTAATCACTATCCAGAGAATAAATATTACGGAAACCAATTGCGTTATCCACAGTAAAGGTTGATCAGTGGATAGCGCTATACATCATTTGAACAACTGGGACCAAGACAGGAAGAGACAATAGGGCTATTTATACGAGGAAAAATAAGACGCGTCTTACATAAGACGCGTCTTAAATAAGACGCGGACTGTACCATTTATACGAGCATGTCTTATCTAATAAGACGCGTCTTAGCTAAGCTGCGTCTTATTTTAGACGAAATGTGTCGTTTATACGGGAAGTTCGCGTCTTATTTAAGACGCGTCTTATTTTTCCTCGTATAAATGGCCCTTGTGTGTACCAAAGGAATTCGTTTAAAAATAATGCGATAGATGGTCAGACTCGAATCCAAAGCCCTACGTATTCGCCACGGCACTATGCACAACGCCTCTGGATTATTTGACCGTTTATTATGTTAACAACAACAACTATTGATGCAGCCTACATCAACAGTGAATCGAGCACATTTGAAATATTATTGTTTCAGGAGCCCATTACCTGGGAACGTCCTTCTCGTATAGACCCACCCTGGATCTTATCTCTGTGCTAGATTTTTATGCTATTTATAGATTTAACTTTCGCGCCAAAAAATCTCTTAGCCAATCGAAGCGCCGAAGGATTTCCAGCAATGGCGGACGAGAGCAGTAGGGTGTGAAGTAAAGGAAGACAGGAATGATGACCGAGGAGCCTCTATTTTGAAGGTCGACTGTCACAGATGGGGAGCTTAAGCAAAGACGTTCAGTTTTTGAACGACGCACGGCAACCGAAGTAGCCTTTTTGCATTCTTGGGCATTGGTTTTTGCAAAATCGTCTATTTAAGAGTAGAAACACTTAGCAAGACAAAATTTTGTAGCGTCAAGGCATACTCAAAGACAAAAGGCCTCATTTCCGCTTAACTTGCGTCGCTCAAAAACGTCTTTGCATAAGCTCCCTTTTGCATTGCGCGGCGTTGGAAACATAGCAAAATTTGCGGGAAAAGAAATGAATAATTTTGGACCATTTTATATTGACTTCGTGATTTCTCACGCTCATTGGTCAGTGGGAGTTTTAACCATGAAAATGACGCAATGATGGCGAGTTCCCCTAGGGCTCTGTATCAAAACGAGGTTAAGTGCTAAGCCTTTAGTGTGGAAATGTTTTTCTATTCTCATGCAAATAAAGCTCATTTTCATAAGAAAGGTTGTGCACTTGGCCTCATTTTAAAACTGAGGGTTTTTGGAACTCGGAAGTAGCCTGTTTGGTTTCCTTTGTCCGGCCAGTAAACTCAGCTGGAAATGGATGATAATAACCTCCAGTGTTCAGTACTCATTTCAATATTCCAACGCTTATAATGTAAGATAACAGAGAAATTATGTCACAATGTTCAAGGGTTTGAAGCAAAAACACCTTCTTTGGCTCGTAGGTCAACTTCAGTTTTGAACATTTTGACGCGGTGGAAGTACTATGGGAAATTTTAACGCGCTGCGACTCTTACAAGTGGGCGATGGACGTTAAGGTGTAATGGGCTTCTGTCGTTTTTGTTGAGGAATATACATGTCCGAGTCATTTGTATGGAAGTTGATGGTAGTAATCTGAGTTTTTCCAAATTGTTTCCCCTGTGCAGGTTAGATATTCGGAAGATCTGGGAATACCTCTTTCCAAAGGCAGCTGGCTCATATCCTACCTCGGCATCTCTTCGGCTATCGGTCGGGTATTGTTCGGACGTGTTTCGGACATCTGTTGCTTCAAAAACATGCATATTTACAGGATTTGCATGTTTCTCTCTGGTTTGGCATCCCTATTGTGTCCCTTGGCGAGCTCCTATTGGGCACTGGTGTTGTATGTTGCAGTGTTAGGAATCTTGGATGGTTCCTTTATAGGACTTATGTCGATCGTGACCCTGGACATAGTGGGCGTGCATAAAATTGCCCCTGCGTGGGGCATCCTATTTTTTTGTCAGTCATTTACATATTTACTGGGGCCTCCAGCTGCAGGTACGTCAGAACTCGCCACTTTAGAAACGCCGCAAAGGAAACAGGGACGAGTTAACTTTTGCAATGACCTGAGGACGCGAAGGTCAGCTGTTGGCCAATTTTTCCAAATTTTTCCCTGTCTTCAGTAACAGTCCCTGAAGTCTTTGCAAAAGTTAACTCGACCGGGTTTGTCTTCTGATTTATCGCATGATTTAAGGAGTATTTAGACATCGCGCAACAAATCCCAATTGTTTTTGTTTTTCTTTTCGCAGGTTTCATGTACGACTCACTGAAAACTTTTAAGCCGGTGTTCTACTTAGCTGCTGGACCAATGATTTGCGGCTCATTTTTGTTATTCGTTGCCTCCTTTTTTAAGTGGAACCAGGTCTCTCGCGGCTGTGAAGAACTCATCGGTGTCGAACCCATATCAAAATACGGCAATCGAGTGGAATTTAGAATCGATGCTCCTCCAATTATTGTTTTAACCGAACCTGAGGAAAACCCGTTGGTTGTGGTGGAGCGTTTGACTGTACTGTGATCTTTCTTCTTCGTAACCTGCTGGGTAGAAAAGGCCAACCTCAACCCAACTTAACATTTCTTCCATAACATTCAAAGGGATAAGCCCGGGAAACAACGTTGTAGAACGAGATTGCTTGGGTCGTTTCTTTATTCGCCACTTAAAAATCGAGAAGGGAACTGGAGCCGAAACGGGTCCCGCAATTGTTTCTGGGATAGTTACTGGGGACGCGCCGCCCAGCTTTTGGCCAATTCCATCACAATCCCAGAAGTCACTGCGAAAGTTAAGTCGGCCCAGCTTTCTTGTCGTTTCTAAAGTGGCAAATTATCACCGTGGCGTTTTTCCTTCAATTCCGGGAAGAGGGCGCACTTCTCCTCGCTGGGGCGGCATTTCGTACCTGTGCTCGTTTCTCAGCTTTCTTGGCTATCCCTGAAAAAATAGCCCGAGAAGACAGCCGACATTTGACGTTTCCCCTCCAAATGACGTCTGCGAAACGGACGCAGCTGAAATTCCATACTGATGACGCGACACTACCCAGATATGGGTAGTGCTTCTGATTGGTTGAATCAAATTTCCCACGCGGCACGACTAACAAGAAGCACTACGCAGACGCGTCAACAGTAAGGAATTTCTGTGCTCGTTTTTCAGATGTCATTTGTCGAGGAAACCAGTGGTAGTGTCGCCAAATGTCGGCTGTTTTCTCAGGCTATTGAAAAAAGAAAAACAAAATAAAAAAAAACAAAAAATCAGCAGTCATCTTCAGATAGTCTAAAAGACAAGGAATGTGGGAGCGAATCATCCTATAGCTTAATCTGTTACTCAACTCTTCAAACTTACAGATCTGCTGGCCTCAGTTTTTCATAAGTTGAATAGTGCTATCCACTGGAAAAATCAGTGTCTAATGGATAACACAACTGCTGGTCTCTCTAATACTTAATCCTCTGAATGGTGATTCATAGGATGGATGGCGTTATCCAGTTACTGAAAATCTAGGGCCTGGGTTTACGCCAGCCATTTTGAATGCACATGTTTGTCTCTTTCTATAAACAGCGGCTGACCTATGCCCAGTTGATTGTAAAGATTAAGATGATACTCTGCTCAGCTGATCTAGATATACTTTGGACCAGGCTCCTGTTTGGACTTAGTTTTGGGTTATAATAAAGATGTTGACTGCTATAACATTTTTCTTTATCTTTTTACTGTTTTATACAACGAGCGATCACTCTTAACTTCATTTCTTTTTAGGGGATACGAGGGCATACAGAGCACACAGGGGACACAAGGGGGCACAGAGGAGGACACAAGGGACACAAGAGACCTCCGGGGACACAGGGAAAACAAGGGACACAAGGGGACATGGGGGACACAAGGGGACACAAGGGACACAAGGGACACAGGGGACACAAGGGACACAAGGGGACACAAGGGACACTGGGGACACAGGGGACACAAGTGATACAGGGGACACCGGGGACACAAGGGACACAAGGGACACAGGGGATACAAGGGACACTGGGGACACAGGGGACACAAGGGACAAAAAGGACACTAGGGACACAGGGGACACAGGGGACACAAGGGACAAAAAGGACACTAGGGACACAGGGGACACAAGGGACACAAGGGACACAAGGGACACAGGGGACCCAAGGGGAAACAGAGGACACAACGGACACAAGGGGACACAAGGGACACCGGGGACACAGGGGACAAAGGGGACACAAGGGGAAACAGGGAAGATAAGGGATACAAAGGGACACAATGGGGCACAGGGGACACAGGAGAACCCAGGGGACACAAGGGACACAGGGGACACAAGGGCACACAGGGGACACAAGGGCACACAGGGGACACAAGGGCACACAGGGGACACAGGGCACTCAAAGGACACAATGGGACATAATTAAGGAGTTTATAATTTTGTCGCGCGAGAGGATTGCAAGCGGAGAGTGATTTCTCTAACTCACTAGTTGCAGTATATCAAGGATGGGGAAAACTGTCTTTCCGTCTGTAAAACACCTAAAAGGGCTAATACGGGGAATTATGGCTGCGAAAAAGGCGAAAAAATTTCCTGGTTTTGTGATTTATTTAAATTTTAAAGATAGTGCATTTACTGCAGTTAAAAGGGATGCAACGCCCTGTAAACTAGGTATGTGAAAAGGGTCCCATTTGTTGGTAGAAGGTATACTAAAGGGGTACCTTTTCTGTCGAAAATACAGTATAAAAGGGAGAATAGTGTCAGTGGTTGGGACTCTGGGTTGAGCCTCCCCGTATGAAAATTTCTTAAGTACCCCCTGTGGATAATACCCCTGTAAAACGTGAGATCACATCGATAACAGTTTAACTATAGTTTTCTTGTACTTGTGAATAGCCCGCGAAAACAGACGGTTTCTCCTCGCTTATCGCCGAGTGGGGGACGAGCCCGGGGGGACGAGAGAGGGGAAACATCTTTCGCATACCACCGCACAGTCCGCTGTGTTGACCCAATTCAGTATCAACAATTCTCGCGAACTAAGCTCCCCATAGGTTTTTTTTTTAATAAAGAAATTTTAGCTCAAGAACCATTTAAAATCATGTGTTGTCTCTTGAAGTTGTTTTCTCGTCGGCTTTTGCCTGGGAAGATTGCGTGACGAAAATGACCATGCACTAGGGCGGGTTATACGAGGTCTTGCTTACATATAACGCTTGTTAAATTTTTTAGATGTCCAACACACATTTTCCTCTATCTCAGTTTGAAAACAGAACGTTGGAGTACATCTATTTTGCCCATCATCACGTCATTGTAAGAATTTTTTTTACCATTTCCGGGCTCGGGTGAGAGGTTAGATCGGACAATAGGCTACTTGCACCAAGAGGTCACGTGACCAATGCTTTCCTTAAACAATGAGTTGGAATCTTGCTGATGCCAAAAATTGATATAGCACATACACATATATCTTACCCGCAAAATTTGACAGGAAACGCATGTAAGGGAGATATTTTATGGCACAAAGTAGTATGATTTGTATTGGCCGCCATGTTGGAGGGCATACTGTTGCCCTCCAACATGGCGGCCAAAACTACTTTTTCCCTATATCTTGTTAAATGTTTTATAGTTTCGCTCAGATGCTCTGTAAACGTTACTACATCATCTTTTCAACATTTTCCTTGAAGTTGAAGTGTAAAATTTGTATTCAGAAAGAGGTACAGTCAAACCTCTTTAATACGGACACCAAAGGGACAGAACCAAGTGTCCGCTTTACAGAGGTGTAATTCATAATTTTAAAAATCATATTTTGGTC